TTAGGCACCCTAACTTATATAAGAATTGGTTATGTATTTTCTGCAAACAACACAAAGAAGACTACGATCACTTATGGAATTGCCTATATAGAATACAAAATGTCAATGATATTCATATATCAACTTGTGAATTTCTTCACAAGATCATCATTGATAAGATTAGTCTAAATGATAATAGACTCAACCTTTACCTCACTATGAAAGATAAGCTAATGGATTATTTGGACCTTTCGTTCTATTCCACTACCTGCATCTATTTGGCCAAAGGAATAATCTCTAACAGCATGTTAATATTGTTAAAGGAACTATTATCCTCTTCTAATGCCAGAAATATTCTTGTAAATATCTCAAATTTTTTTACCACTACTTTTCATGATAATATCTGGATCCCCAGGTGTAACAAAATAATTGAAGAAGAAAGAAAATTAGGAATTTCTAAAAGATTGAAAAAGAAAAAGTCAAGATAAAACGTTCAATCCTTACGAAAATCCCAAAAAAACTATTGTCAAGATGATCAGATTGGATGTCATCAGCAATTAAATTTGGTTTCTCTTGGACAGATTTCTTAAATGGTACTGACAGTTTCATTTGAATGTCTTATTGAGGATTTAATCATTAGATATGGATCTTTTGGTTTTTTCTGAGGACACACGGCCAAGGAAACTAAAAAACTTCTTTTAGAACGATGTCTGAGGTTGTTAGATTGGCCATCAAATAGCCTGGATTTAAATATGATTGAGAATTTGTGGTCAATTATGAAGGGACGTGTAGAAAAAGAGGTCAACAATCTTATAATTAAAAAAAATCAATTACTACTAGATGTTTTTATTGATATAATTAAAAAAGAGTAGGAGGAAATCGAGCCTGAAATTCTTCTTAATTTGGTTTGTAACATGCCAAAATGATTGGAACAAATAATTGAGGGGAATGGCAATAAGCTAAGCTATTGACTCGGCTTAATATTTTTTGTTCGTTATATAATGAAATAAAATTTCATGTATTTTCAAGTTGTTTTCGAAGTATAATAAATAAAATCATAATTTCGAAAACTTTTGTCGCGCACTGTAAATTGAACCATTTAATGGAGGTCAGATTGTCATTGAAGCATTTTTTGATGATTTAGAAAATTTATATAAGGTCTTAATATTGGTATACAATACAGTTAAGTTGGAGAGCTATTTAGATAGGTGTCAGACTCTGGATTTGCTAATTAGAATATATTTATTAACTACAGTTATTAGCGTGTTTTAAAAAAAGTCTCAACATTTGTTTAAGGTGTTTTGAGACCATGCTATAGAACTAGAACTGCTTTTTAGAGCACAGTTATTGATTGAGTGGTCTAATTTATCATTAAATCACATTTTATTAGATTTTACAGGCATTTATGATTGTTGTTAGTTACTTTCAAGAAGTTTAAATATTTAACGAATAATTTTGAATGGTATATGAAACGAGGCCAGATTTCACATTCTCAGGTACGAAATTGTACGGGAATGGGGATAACGCAGTTAGATTTCGGACAAGAAGGAAGCAATGATAAAGGAAATACTTTTTTTTAATTTGATAAAAAAGATTATTTTCCGATTCTCAACCTTTTCTTTTAAATATACAAATTAAAGAATAATTCTTGTCCCGTAAACTTTGAGCAGCAACCTCGCGCTGCAACCTCCTAAACAATAGAATCCTAAACAAACATGTAATCTGTTATTGAATTTTGGAAGCAGCAAGGTTGTAATGGCGTATGAAAGATTTTATTTTTGCAATTACTCAGTTGATTTCAAAATAAAGTGAAAATTATTTGATATCATAATTTTACTTCGATTTTAAACCTTTTCTATTGCAATGTAAATATTTGGGGATCACAAAAAAAAAAAGCGAAATTTTTTTTATTTTTATTTTTTTTAACATGATAAAGTTATCAAATATAATTATTCGAAAAAACATTCTATGAGCTAATCATTGCAGAAAGAAATGGGTCATCCCCCTATGCTTTACTATGGAATGTCTCTCAAAAAAAAATTTTGAAATTTTCACCTGAATAATTTATATGTATAAAGGATCAAAAACAACATTACCTTGTTATTATTTGTAGGATATTCTCGCTCGTTCAATATAATGATGTAAAGTTTGAAATTTTGTAAAAATTGGACAAAATAGGATCAAACTTATTTTCTCATTCATCAGTTACACAACCCTCAGTTGCGGTTTTAACATTCTTAATGTACTTATATAAAGTGCCTTTAGTAGCTTTATAAGGTGGCGCTTTCCATGAAGAACGTCTATTTGCAAATTCTTCTTCACTTATATCAACATTTATATTTTTCTTTTCGGCATCAATTATAATTCGATCACCATCTTTTACCAAAGCAATTGGACCTCCTAACTGTGCCTCTGGTGTTATATGCCCGATAATGAAACCCTATTAAACGAAAACATACATAATCTTAAAAAAAAAATGATAATTCTTTTATTTTTTTTTATATTTTTATAATCAACTTACATGACTACCGCCAGAAAATCTACCATCTGTCAATAGAGCAACATCTTGTCCAAGACCTGCACCCATGATAGCACTTGTAGGTGTAACTGTAATAATAAAACAAATGTTGTATATTGATAACTTGTCCAATAAACATTGATTGATTCATCCCTAAAGTCATACTTACGCATTTCAGGCATTCCAGGACCACCTTGAGGACCTTCAAATCTAATAATAATAACCTGCCCTTTTTTGATTTCACCTTGTTCGAAAGCTTTTAACATATCATCTTCGCCGTTAAAAACTTTTGCAATACCCTCAAATATTAAACCCTCCTTACCGGTAATTTTTGCTACAGAACCTTCAGGAGCTAAATTACCACGTAAAATTTGTATATGCCCCGTTTGTTTTATTGGTTTTGATAACGGATGAATAACATCTTGTTCTATAAATGAAAGTGTTGGGACATCTGATAAATTTTCTGCCAACGTCTTTCCCGTTACAGTTAATGTATCTCCGTGAATTAAATTATTTTCTAGCAAGTATTTTAATACGGCTATAATATAATGCGAAGAGGAAATTTTTTCTTTTTAGTTGCAAAGTTATGATCTAACTATTAAAATCAAAAAGGAATATTTTTTTTACCTGGTATTCCTCCGATCTTGTGCACATCTTCCATGACGTATTTTCCACTGTGATTTTAAAGGAAAAAAAAAAAAAAAAAATGTTGAAATCTACAATCTTCCTCGCTTTTTGCACTAAAAAATATTTCAAATACCTTGGTTTTAAATCTGCCAAAAATGGAATTTTATCACTAATCTTTTGAAAATCATTTAAATTTAATTCGACACCAACAGCTTTCGCAATGGCGATTAAATGTAATACGGCATTAGTAGAACCACCTAATATCATTGTAATAACAATCGCATTTTCAAATGCTTTACGAGTCATAATATCTTTTGGTTTAATATCCATTTCTAATAGATTTCTAATAGCCCAACCAGCATTTAAACATTCTTCATGTTTTTGCGGATATTCTGCTGGTGTTGAACTACTATATGGAAGTGACATTCCCATCGCTTCAATAGCGGATGCCACTAAAGATGAAAATAATAAATTATGTTAGAAATAAAAAAAAAAAAAATATTAAAATTTTGTTATGATCATTACTTGTATTGGCAGTGTACATTCCACCACAAGCACCAGGACCTGGACATGCATGTCTTATAATATCTAATCGTTCTTCCTCGGTAATTTTTCCAGAAACATAAGATCCATAAGATTGAAATGCTGATATAACATCCAAGACTCCTTGTCCACATGTTCCTTGACCCGGACGTATGGTACCACCGTAAATCATCAAAGATGGACGATTGTGACGTCCCATAGCAATTAAGCAACCTGGCATATTTTTATCGCAACCTGGTAATGCTATGTTTGCATCATACCATTGTCCCCCCATAACCTAACAAGGGAAATTTGCATTATTTTAAGTTGAACGAGGATGTCGAAAATTTTTTTTCATAACTTACAGTTTCAATGGAATCAGCAATCAAGTCTCTACTTTGTAACGAATAACACATGCCCCTAGTACCCATACTGATAGCATCACTAACGCCAATTGTATTAAATCTATATCCGATCATTCCAGCTTCTTTTACGCCCTCCTTAACTTTATTGGCTAAATCTAACAAATGCATATTACATGGATTGCCTTCATACCATCTAGAAAATTAGAATTTTTTTTTTTTACTTTTTTTTTTTTGATAAATTAATAATTATACATGTAACTTACACGCTGGCAATTCCAACTTGTGCTTTACTCATATCCTCAGGTTTTAAACCTGTGGCATATACTACAAATATATATATATGATATATAAACGATCCTATTTGTTAAATGAACGAATGAATATACGTATCGCTTACACATTGCTTGAGCAGCCCCCTGTGACTTTGGCTGAGTGATAATTTTACTTTGCTTGTTTATTTCTACAGCATTACTGCTATATCTTCTAGCAATTTTATGACTGTGATATATTTGAGAAGAAAAATATTTAAATTGAATAATTTAAATCATTCTGATTTTATCATAAACTTGTTATTTAATTACATTTGAACTTGACCAGATATTTGTCCTGCTACACCAGAACTTTTCCTTGCCAAGTTGGACATCATGACAAAATTAATTTCTACATTGTTAATTAAAAAAAAAAATTTCAAACACGACGTTAGATTCGTCGATTATCTGATTTTTCACATCGGAAAAATTGGTTGATTTCAAAATTTATAATGTAATGAAATAATCAAAACATACAATAATAATCACCAAAAATTTTTATCGAATAAATAATTTTCATTTACTGTATTTATATTCAAAAAAAAAAAAAAAAAAAAAAAAAAAAAAGAGATTCCCAACACCTCGTGATAATGCTCCTTATCTGCCAATCAAAAGTTACGATATTAGAATAGGGAACAAGTTTACAGAATCGTGGTATATATGCTATTTTATCTCAATTCATTATTTAATTAATATTCCATAAATAATATAAGGGGAAAGTAGATAATGATCTTCTAAATCATCAATATATAATTTAAAGCAACAGTTTAAAGATTTTCTATAATCAATAAATTCAACAACATCTTTGGCTGATAAACTCCACCATCCCATTAATTGAAAATTTGTAATATTTAAACTACTATATTTTTTTAATAACTGTAGAATATCATTTGAATAATTTTCGTGTTCCTTCACTTGTACAGTGGAATCAAATCTCAAAAATTTCAATTTTTTACATAATTCACACAAATCTTTTAATTTCTCATGAACTTCTTTGATAGTAATGTCAATCGGTATATGTAAATATGTCAGGGATTGATAATGCCTTAATGTTATTGCGTCTAACAATAACTCGCAATTATTGTTCCTTATCGTCCATGTTGTAATCGAAATATCTTCCAATCCACCACTTTTTCCTCCATCTTCTACATCTCCCGAATTTAAAATGAATCCCAAAAATCCATAATTGAAACTGTTTGCGATGATTCGTAAATATTTTAATTTGATAAATCGTACGTTCGTTACTTTTATCGAAGATAAATTTTCATATCGTGAATCTGAAAAGTTAATTTCTAAATCTTCAAGTGAATCAGCACATTTTAATAATATATCCGACATATAAATAACGTTAGAAATCCTAACTTTTCTTAATGATTTTGAGATGTTTGGATGTGTTTTAAATACGTTATAAATTGAATGATTACTTAGAAATGACGAAAAGTGTTCACCCCGAAAGTCGAGTTCAGTGATTGAATGTTGAACGCTAATAAATTCACTTATTCCAACTTCAGAGTTATATGAATAAGTTAATAAATCGGGCTTTTCCATGGTTATGATAAATGATTTGACATTTGAAGAATGCTTACGAAAAAGTTCGAAAACTTCATTGGACGGATACACTGACGTACATTCAAATTCTTGAACATTTGAAAAAAAAATCACAAAATGAACTTTCATGTTTGTTCTTTAAATAAGAAAATGTTGACAAGATTATCGAATTATTCTTTGTCTTTGGAAATGTCGATTCAAAACTTATTTTCATTACTTTTGAATATCTTATAAATATATTTAATAGATTAATTAAAATTACTTCAACTTGTCTTTCAGATTCTTTGGAAAAAGTATCATTATCAAAGAAAATCCTAATCGTAGTAATTATTCTATCAATATCGAGATATTTTAAATATTTGGCATAATTGAATAATGGTTGATTCAGCATGTCATGTGAAACAATTAGATTAAGCTCTTCTTTAATCAACTCTTCTTTTTCTTCTTCTTCCATAAAATATAGATAAGGCATTATTAAACTTTTACATCGTGGGGACGTAACTATATCTTCCTCCAATATATTTCCTGTTGTGTTTAGAAGATTTTCTATCGCTAAAATTTTATTTGAATCTGTACTTTCCCAACTTAAATATCGAAATGGATTCTCCCATAAATATGGAATTGCATTTTCGTTCCAACGTTTATTTACTAAAGAACATGAGTAAAGAGTTGGAATGTCTAAATTTGAAAAAATGATTTGTAAACAATCTGGAATTAATCGGCTCATTTTATTTTTTTTTTTTAAAAAAAAAAAAAAAAAAAAAAAAAAATTGGGGAAATAAGAAATGAATTTGTGATGTTCAATTCCTCACTTTATTTATATATAAGGGTATTGGTGCTAAAAAAGATGTTCAAAATTCACCAATTAGAAAATCGACGGAAAAATGTTTTGAAATTAAACTTCTTATTTTATTTATTAATGAAATCAAAAAAAGTAAAGATTACGTCAAAATGAAATACATATACATGTTAAAACCCCGAGCGTAGGTTAAGATTCCCCGAGTTATAGGTATCTTCCCTAGTATCTCCACAAAATTTCCACCCCACGTGATCATAGTAAAATATTTGTCACCCCCTCAACTTTACTTTTTTACTATGTATTTTGGGAATACTATTCGTCACGCCATTATTTGTCACTCGGTTAATTTCTTAATGCCGTAATGCCGGCCAATAAGTCACATGGAAATGGAATTTTTGTGAAATTGTCGGTTATAACATGTTTTTTTTGTTTAAGCTAAAATTGATTTATTATTATATATACATATTTTATTATATATATTACAAAGTCAGATCATGCTATTCAATTATTTGCTCATATTTGATCTATATAATTAATAATGTATTAATAAATTTACTCAGCCTTCTTATGCATATTTATGCAGTGTAGTATTTTGAGTATTAAAAGAATCTAAATAAATCATCTTGATTTTCTATTGTTATCATAATTTTATCATTCTTATAACTTTCATCTGGATATTTTTGGCATCAGTAACAAAAAAAAAAATATAAAATATAAAATTTCTATATTTATTGTGTTCTTTTTTTACAATTCTTTTGCTAATATATTTGATTTATATCTATCCATAAATTTTCTATAACTAATCACTAATTATTTATCTTGAATGAAAATGGGTATATTAGTAAGTAAAAATAAATTTGCAAATTCAGCTCCTTAGAGATTATGATAAGCAATACATTTTAATAACTGATTTTTAATAAATTTTTCTCTTAATTTTCTTATTTGTTAATTGAACAAAAAATTTGAACTTAAATTCAAGAAATATATTTTTTTGATTTTTATATCATAAGATAAATTAAAAGAGCATACATTTGCATGGATCAATAGATCTTATTTTAACTGATCTTTGATAAATTATTTATAATCAGAATATAATCACCAAAATTGTTAAATGTTCATTTTGATCTAAAAATAATACATTGCTTAGTATATAAAAATCTTTATTTGTAAGATTATAAAAATATTAAAACAATCTCATAAAGAGTAAAATAAAAAAGCTTTATCTTTTTTTTAATTTTATTTTAGAAAAATAAGCTTATCTTTCTTTAAATCCTATAGAAAATAAAATTAGATATATATATAAAGTATAAAATATTAAGATTATAAGTATATTTACTTTAATTTTACATTTTTAATATCAAATGTAATTGACTAAATAACAGATCACTAAAATATGATATAAGCCATTAAAATAAAAAATAAGTTTAAGAATTTCATTCTTCATAAAACTTTCAAAGTCTAGAAATACATTATAATAATTTGTTTTTTTAATGTATCAAAAATCCTTTAATAAGATTTCATTTTATATTAATATTTTTTAAATTAAATATTTCAATCAACTTTGATAGAATTTCATTTTATATATAGATTCATTACATCTAACAGTTATATCAATAATAATCATTTAAAATATTATAAATTTCAGAAAATAATTAATAATACTTAAAAGTTTGATTATATATTCCAAATAAATAAAGATCTTATTAATATTATTAATAATAAATGTAATGATATAGTAAGTAATATTACAAAATATATACTTAACAGTTAATACTACTCATTTTTTTATCTTATTAATCTAACAAATATTAAGTTAAATTAGCTTAATATTATTAAAAAATTAATTAATGATATTAATGATAAACTTTAATACTAATAACTTATCACTCACCAATTAACAAAATCTAATATAATTTTTTTAATATATTTATGTTTCAACAATAGCAAATCTATATCTTTAAATTTACATTATTAACTTTATTTAATCTATTATGTGTATTTCAATTAGTATAATAAAAAGAAAAATAATCATTTAATATAACTCTTATAAGAGCTAAAAAATTTATTTAGAGTTATTTAAAATGTCTATTATTAAATAGTAAATTGTTTCATTAAAAATAATTATAAAAGAAGTTTATTGTTTTTTTATTATTTGAAAAGTAATTTAAGATTATATTAATAACTTAAATCGAGTTTAATCATATAAATTTTAAGTATATTTTTAAATTTTATAATGTGATATTAATACTGTAAAGAGCGATTTAAGATATTGAATAAGCAGTAAGTAAGTAAGTATTATAAAATTATAAACAGATAAAATTACTTTTTCTCAATATATATATATATAAATAAAATAAAATATGCAATAATATATATTTATAATTCTGATAAAAATTATATTTAAATTTTAAATTTTAAGTAAAATTATTAAATATAAAATAATATAAAAATATTTATTTTTAATTATAATATAAAAAATTAAGCATTAAAATAGATTTTTTAGAAAATCACATTTTTTTTTGATTTAAAATATTGTGCTTTATATCTACTTCAATTATTAGTAATTAAATATAAATCAATACTATTTTTGATAAATTTGATTTTTTTTTTTTAATTCTCCTTCTTTTATTATTTTTTCTAATTTACTATAAATACTCTATTCATCTAATAAAATATTTGAAGAATTTTAAATTTTAATTAACTTTTTTTATTATCATTACTATTATTATAAAATATGTGTATACATATTTATGTGATTTTTATAAAAAATGTGATATATAATATTATATGAAAAATTCTTAATATGCACATATATCTGCATTATATATTTCTGAATATTCTACTTTCTTTAAACTTTTATAATAATTTTATTATAAAAGATTTTTTAAAAAATTCTAAATTATTATTCATTATATCATCATACATAATTTGAAAATCTGACTTATATTATAATATTCTTTTATTCTTTTATTACATTATAACTTTTATAATGTACTATTTTAGAATAAACTTTTTAATTTGTTAGTTAAGCAAATTATTTTCCTTCTAACTGTATTAACAGTTATAAGAAATCTTATTTCTTTTTAGTTTTTTATATACTTTTAGATTTGTGATAAAAAGATACAAATTATTCATATTTATTATAAATTTAATGATTTCTTTTTCACAGTTTATAAACTTTAAATAAATTGAAATATCAGAAATATCATTTGGAATATTGTCTAATAATTTATGAGATGAATTATAAAATATATAATTTAATAGTTTCCTTTGATATTTTTAATAGTTAAAATACCTTTAGCTTTAGATAATGAATTAATAAATATGTTATTAAAAGTATTAAGTTAGTATCAACCAATTATTATAAAATAATAGCTTACTTTGATATTTATCTAAATTGAATTAGAAGATAAAATCAAAATTAATGAATATATATCAAATATTTAAAAAGTTGTTCTTATTTTTAAAATATATTAATTTTTAAAAAATCTTTTCACATTTCATTTTAAAATATACTTTAATATGAATTGAAAAATTACGAATTAAATTATATTAATAATTTATAATAAATATTGAATGATATAATTAATTTTGATATTATAAATTAATGCTAAAATATATTTCAAGCATTTACAAGTATCAAGAAAAGCTAATGCTTTATCTATTTTATTAAAATTTTTATAAAAGTAAGAATATAAGATAATCTTTTCTTTATTAGTAAAAGTGAGACTATTAATTAATTTATAAATTTTTATGTTATAAAAGAATAAAAATTGGTTTCATATATATTAAATTTTCTTAAATATAAACTTTTACTAAATTTTCTATTAAATATTTATTATGTAAATATATTTATGTATTATTATGAAATAAGATATTCAAGATATTAATCAGAACTTACAATACAAAATTATTATCACATTATTTAAATAAATAAATTATATAATTAACTATAAAATTTTCAATCTATAGTCTTTTCTATAAATATCAGATTTCTTAAATAATCTATTTCACTTATATTCATAGTATTTAACAAAATGCCTTAAAATAAAGACTATACAAAATTTTTATTTATTTATATTTTCTCACTTATACGAATCATATTGTTATCTAACTATTAATAGGCAGACTGAAATATTTAACGATTGAATAAAAGCTGAGTTTAGCTTAAAACTCACATTTATTTGAGAAAGTATTTACTTAAATTCTTTCTGAAGGCAGAGAAAAAGCATCACATACTTTCCTATATTATCTTATTTTGATATTCGTTCACAATCTCAGTTTTTAAGTCAGAAAGTATAGAGATTTCATTAACTAAATCTTTAAAATACTTCTTAAAATAATTAAGATATATCCTCATATATACAATGATTATATATAATTATTAATAAAAGGTTCTCTTTTATTCTTTAACAAATTTTTTTAAGAATTTATTTGTATAAAGTTACTTTATTATCAACAAATAAAATAAATATATTTTAAGGGTTTGTTTTATAATAAAACTTTATTAATTACAAAATAAGAATGACTTCTCAAGAATTGCAAGTTTATATCTTTAAGACTTCAATCTTAAAAAGTTATTTTTACATGATAGTTTTCTTAAACTATTTATAATAAAATTTCTGCATTATTTTTTTATCTTATTATAGAATAACTATACAATAATTTTCTCATCTATAATTAATATTCATGTTATATTGAGGCTGATTTAATAAACAGTCGTAATTTCGTCAAAGTTGATTCACTTCTCTCTAAAGGTCTATAGTTAAATATCATTTAATCCTTGTAATCATTCAATTTTGCTCCATATATAATTTAATTGAAATTGAAGATCATTATAGATATTTTTGAGGTAATGACTTTTATGTCTATATCTATTAAGCTGAGAAGAAAGAGAGTCAATTCTATTAGATAAAATTGTTGTTATTGTTAAAGAATTGTTTTTGGTTTGCCTTGCCCATGTTGATGAAGGAAATTATGATAATTTATGAGAATTGAAAGGAAATTCAAAAAAAAATTTTTTTTTTTGAGATTTTTACAATAATTTTGGTAAAAAGGAGAAAATTTGAGAAAAATAGAAGGGATTTTGGGTATGATATTTATAATTAAGCAAAGGTGGCTATGCAAAATTCTCAAGACCATGAGACAGGGTGATAAAATTTCAATCAATAAAAAAATAATGCGTTACAAATTTTGCGCAACTTTACATAACAACTTAGCCACAAATTTATATATTATATTCTTTATGTTTCGCTCTACTTAGATCCACTTTTAGTTTTTCTAGATCCACCTTCTTTCGAGACTTTAAACCATCCTAAATGTTGAATAATTATTATGTAATAAGGGGTCGTGTGCAGTATGTGGTCATGAAAAGAGTGAAAAAAGTAAAGAAAGATTTCGGAAGTTCTTTTGATTTTAATATCAAACATCAAGTTAATTGTCAGATTTCGTAGCATGTGATTAAAATCAGGTGAATTTGCGCCAAGAATAATATGTAGTAATGTGTCCATTTTATTTTAGAACATCTATAAAGGTGGAAAATAACTAACCGAGTAATAAACCATCCTACCTTATATTTATATGCGGATTATTCAAGTTCGTTTGATTGTAAATATCGATGATGCAAATAATGATAGGTTTGAAATTGTATTAGAACTTTCGTTTGATTTTTGCTTGATTTTTTGCTTATATTTGCAAAAGGAGGATAAAAGGTGGGGACACCATATTTTACTGGATTGGTTTTGGAAATATGCTGTTGGGGAAAATACGTTATTATAATCGCATTACAAAAATCTTGATCAACGCGCATTCATAATAAACAGGGAGATCCTCTAAAAAATGGGATAAAGAGTGTATGCAATAATGCGTTAATGTACTTAGCACTCTAGCGGTTGTGCTTGGAACATTTATTTTAATCAGTATTGTATTTTTATTCCTTTGGTTCCGCTTATGACATTATATTATTTTGCTGCGCTCCACATATCTTTAAGCATAAATTAAGAGACTTTTTTTTAGTTTGTCTCTTTATCAGAGTCATACCTACGATTCGAGCTAATCGTGAACAAGACTGGTTTTTTTAATTTGTTTTATCTTTAAATGATATTTTTGTTGTAGGTTTAGGAAACAATTCACTCAAATAGATTTTTAATTGATAGTATGAATGAGGCAATCGTTGATATTGAAAATCGGGCATATTTCTTTATAATCATTATCCAATGTTGGTTGGGTATTCGACTTGAAACAATTGCAAATGCGTTTGTATTTTTACAAATTTATTTCTATTATTGAAAGATATAATGTAAAAACCTTACTATTCTTGGAGTTAAGCACTTCAATTCACTGGTGATTTCAATTGGTGTATCAGGCATTTTACTGAATTGGTAAGTCAATGTTTTACTTTTATCTATTCAAATAAAAAACTTTCCTATGGAAGCGAAATATGAATGCCATAGAATGACGTACTTTATTCAGATTCACTGGATGTTGAAGCTGAACCAATAATTTCAGATCATAGAATGGCCTGTTAAGGAGAAGTACATGTTTAAAGATTTGGTGATATCTTATGGACCTGAACTTCCACCCGTCTTTAAAGGAGTTACATTTGATATAGTCACATCAGGAAAAGTTGGTGTTGTTGGAAGAACTGGTATGTAGTATGAACATTATGAATTATCAATTTGCTAATTATTCTTATGAAAAAAAATAAAGAAAATTCAATTGTTTTTTTTATTTGTAAAAAAAAAAAAAAATAAAAAACAGGTTGTGGAAAATCAACATTTGCGACAACCAACTATTGAATTGGATGGCATCGATATTATTACCATTGGTCTTTAAGATCTTTGAAGTAAAAATCACTAATATTCCGAAAGATCCCATTTTGTTTAACAACACGTTAAGGTAATTAATTAATTTGAAATGATCTTAATTATTATGACTCGGAAGAGAATAAAAACATAAAAAAAAGATTAACCGATTTTATCTATTAAGGAGCAATTTGGATCCATTCAAAGTTATGACGCAACATTATGGAATTCACTTCGAGGAGTTCACATCATTCAAGATGCAGATAATGAAAATATAGATTCTACGTTAACCTAATCGTTAAACGAAAATCACCCGTGACAAATGAATCGGTATCATAATAAAACAAAAGAGAAACGTTGACATTTATTCACCTGTCAATAAGAATGGAAGTAATTTTTCACAAGGTCAACAACAATTAATAGCATGAGCAAGAGCATTAGTACGACATTCTAAATTAATTATAATGGATGAAGCAACAGCAGTGTAGATTTTAAGACTGATTATTTATTTCAAACTACAATAAGAGAAGAATTTAAAGATTCGACAGTATTAACCATTGCTCATCGGTTAAGAACCGTTGCTGATTATGATAAAATTTTAGTTATGGTATGTGTTTTTTATGTTTTAATCTTATTAATCTGCGAATAATGTTTTAATAAAATGATCGTGTGGTGTCAACCTGGTATCAAACAAATCTATGATTTTAACGATTTAGTATAATTCACTATGTGAAGATAGAATATGACCATTTTTTTTTATCTCAAAACCTTTCTAATATACAAAACTAATATTCTCAAAATACTAATTAATTAATTCATCCACTAAAATCACTCAATATGCTTATTTTTAACTTTTGTAATAACGATGTTATGCCAAATTTCAAGTCGTGACTTTAATAGACGGATATTTTTCATAAAATATTTGTCGATCATTTGAATTAAAGTTTGTGTAACCTTATTAACCAATCATTATGATTTTTAACCATGCTATCGCGACTTGTTTTTTTTTTATTAATAAAAAATGTCAAGAGAGTTCGAAGGTTTCGAAAAGCACTTAGACCCCGATAATTTAAACCTCATTTCAATACTCCAATTTCGTCGCGACCAAGATGAATTTTACACACAGTAAACTCAATGAACATGCACTTATATCAAAATTTTTAACGCGTCTTTCGGAAATACCTAAATGGTCTAAGGCTGCACTTTCCCTCAAAAAGGATGGAATACTGGTCAGTATTTATATTCGTTTTAAACTTTGCAAAGCGGTGTGAGCTAGGAGATAGGAAAGAAGTTGGACAATGTCAAAACAACCACCAAGCTACCCAACAATGCTTGGAGTAGTTATGGATGTTCTCCGGTGGGCTTTGTTCTAAGTCTGCATGAAGGCTTGAAACAATGCTTTCGGTGCCAAGAACGCGTTTCGTTTGCAGCCTCCTGACATCTTGCTTATGTTTAGAAGTGATAATTTTTTTGGTGCAGTCTTTTAATCATTTTATTGTTATTTTTGTCAAGCAACAAACAAAAAACGAGGAAGTGGTAAGGTTTTGGATTGATCAAGATAACGAGAGGGCGGAATTCGAGATTAAACAAATTCAGGTGTGTTTAGTTAGTTATATCAAATACCAAGATGCAAGAGCCTTATTAACACAGTTTTGTGCTTATGGTTTACAGAATCAACTCGTTGTTAATAGATCGATTTCTAATAATATAGCACACGACCTAATTGAAGAACAAAAGTTAGATCTTATTGCAAAGCGAGAATTGAATGACGAACCTTCCTTCAGAAGAAGATTGGGTGGGAAATTATCTTCAGTACCACCAAATAAGGTCAGTATACTGTATATCGAATTTAGCTAGCAAAACACCTATTAACTCTTTGACATGTGTGCATAGGTCAGAGCCATTAACGCGGAAACTTCTCAACGATCACCCTAAAATGAAGAGTTTTCATCAAATTCTGACTCTGAGGTCGTGACGTCCACTCCACTTACGAATGTCTTTCTTGCTTTCTCTTCACAACAACAAACACTAGTGAATGACGAACCTTCTTTCAGAAAAAGAATAGGTGAGGAATTATCTTCAATGCCACCAAATAAGGTCAGTATACTGTATATCGAATTTAGCTAGCAAAACACCTATTAACTCTTTGACATGTGTGCATAGATCAGAGCCATTAACGCGGAAACTTCTCAAAGATCACCCTGCAGTGAAAAGTTATCATCAGATCCTGACTCTGAGAACGTGACATCCACTCCACTTACGAATGTCTCTCTTGCTTCCTCTACACAACAACAAACACCAGTCGATCTCATTGAGCCCATTGATCTAAATGGAGTTAAAACCATTGATTCAAGCACATCTTTGGTATCAGAAAAGGATGAAAAGCAAAAAACAACCAGAAGATATATCAACCGCGACTTAGCGGACGAAGTCTTAAAATCATACCAGACACAAGTCCTGCCGGGTGAGAAGTTGATGTATGATAATGTCGATACCTTGAGCTTCGCTTACTCAAAAGTGAAGAAAACTGAATTGGCGAAAAGCCCTCTATCCATTGGTGTTGTCAACATTAATAACATCAGTTGCACAAAATTTCTACCTCTTGATTTCAAACAGTTCATAGCAGATCAAATTCAGGATTGTGAAACTGCATCTATCTATTTTACTGACAACCGATTTATTGACAAGTTTATAATGGATTGTGAGGAGGAGGTATTGATATTTTTGGATAAGTTTCAAGACATAGGGGATTTAGCATCTTTGGCAAGATGTTTGAACGAAAATCCGATTGACATGTCCGTTGCATCTAATGATCTTATTTATGTACGAATTCTTTTCGATCATTTCTATTTCTTATTCAAAAATGATACCCTACTTCAACCAATGTCTGAACACGAGTTCAGTGCATATGTATGGACTCCATTGATCAGAAATGCCTTTCTTGGAAAGGACGATTTAAAGTTAAGTTGTGGTGAGCTGGCGTCAAAGTCATATGAGAAACTTAAAGGATTACTAAATGTTTCCAGCCGTGGTGGTCCGAAGTTAGATGGAAAGGGTCTTTTGAAATCTTTAGGGACCGAAATTTTAGCTCAGGAGGATGGAGTTTTTAATACCCCTAGTAAAAGGACAGGAGACCTCCAAAAATTGGAATATTGCTCCAAAGTTATTCTAACAGCCCTGTTCTTTGCGTTATCTTCAGCCACTAAAAACAGAATAACAGATATCGAAACCTACACCTTACAGTCCAATGAATTTCGCCTTAAAATTTCTGCAACTAAATATCTTTTTGAAAACACCATCATCACAATGGATTTACAGCATGTGGAAGTTCCAAGGACGGTGGAGGGGTTCTCGAAGTTGGTGGAAGGTGTTAAAACCATTCTATCATGGAAGGCGCGGACCAGGAAGAACACCATGAAATTTTATGAGGCATTAAATAAAGGGCATAAGCGCTTAACCAAAAGAGTTTTTTTTTCACCGGTTAAGATATCTATGTAGGAAGTTAATGTGATAAGTTTATTATATCAGATTGCGATAGTTTAATATAGGATAGCTTGTAATAATTGTAACATCAGTATTAAAAAAGTAATAAAGTTTCACTGATAATTTTCCGAAATGAAATTTGTGATGTATCTTTTTTTGATAATCGTCTTTATTTATGCCACAAGTCACATGATACTGTGAATTCAGTTCATGGTAACAGGCTTTGAGGTTAGGGAGGCGATTCCTGAATCAAAATGCTTTGATGAAGCTTTGCGAAAAAAGACAGAGAGATCCGAAAAGATGTATAAACTTTTTAATAGCACAGGGAAAGAAAAAATAGCGCGGATTAGATCTATCCCCCCATCATATGTCTTAAATCTAACTAAGGATGAAAAAGATTATGTAATTGCTGATATTTTAAAGCAGAAGATTTGACGAGCTCAGACAAGCTTGTCCAGCCTCGGTCACCATCTTTTGGTAACTTTCTTTTTTTGAAGTTTTTGGCTAAAACGTTTTAATAAAGTTTGCCCAACAATTCGGGCTTATATTTTTATTTGTTTCGTGAAGGTGTATGAGAGTGTTTAATGCATTTTGAATATGTAATAAATTTCCCCGATAATTCACTTATTCATATTCGTTGCGAAGTACTACATTTGCCATACTGTACTACGCCACATGATTCATTCATTCTGTCCATCAGAAAAATATTTCTTGCACGTGCATATCAAATCATATATCTGCCCATATCAATAATGTTTTTTGATTATGATGTGTACATGGTCCCGATTTAGCCGATCCTCATGATTTGACGTCATGCAAGTTAATCATGAGAGATCCACAAACCGCATGTAAATATAAAATTAGCATATAAATCCCCAAGCAGGTTTTTCGATTCTAATGCTGGCATATTTAGCTCTAGTTATTAAATTTCAAAAAAATTTGTGTCCCCGAAATTCTCTGTATAACAAAGCACAGAAAGATGTGGTACAAGAGTTTCATCATCAAAAAATAATAATCATAATTCAAAAGCAGTTCGAAAGGGATCATAGTTAATAGGATTCCTGATTTAAAAAAAAAATACAAATAACCATTAATGCTTGATATGCCGTTTTCATTGTTTCATGTCTCCATCGAAACAAAATTTAGATTTCCCTAACCTTAAAGTATAATTATGTCAAGACCAAATAATTTTGTAATTTTAGGAGGAGGTATATCAGGATTAAGTGCAGCATGGTATCTATCTCGTCACGTACCTTCTACAACAAAAATCACAATATTAGAAGGGTCAAATAGGTTCGGAGGTTGGATAAAAAGTAAGAGAGTTGGGGAACATAAAATTCTTTTTGAACAAGGTCCACGAACTTTGAGACCAAATGGGATAGGAGGTCCGGTTGTATTAGATATGGCAAGTTGTTTTGTTGTTATTAATCTGGAAATGATTATTTAATGATTTTTACGTTTGAATATTAAATCATAATAATTATATATAATATGTATATATGTATATATATATATATATCTCTTTTAGATTAATAAATTGAATTTAACTTCATCTTTACATGCTGTTACAAAGAATGATGATGCTTCAAAAAATCGATATATATATTATCCAGATAGACTAGTGAAGCTTCCAGGATCATCACTACTCTCAAGCCTAAAATCCGTAATGATAAATAAATTCCTATTAAAGACGGCATCGTCAATTCTCCTAGAACCGTTCGTTAAATCCTCAAAAAATTATGAGGATGAATCCATTCATGAATTTATTTCGAGAAGATTCGATAAATCCGTGTCAGATATATTGATCAGTGCACTTATACATGGAATCTATGCCGGTGACGTAAAAAAGCTTTCCGTCAAATCAATATTTACAAGGCTATATGATTTAGAACAAAGGCATGGTTCCGTCATTAAAGGTTTATTGATGGGCAATAAAGAAGCTTTTTTATGTCAACAAGATAAGGATTTATTGAAAATTGTTAATGATGAAAATAAAGAACTTTTGGCAATAATGAAAGATGTTAGTCTTTATTCTTTTAAAGATGGTATTGAACAATTACCATCAGCCATTGTAAATGATTTGAAAAACAGAGAAAATGTACAATTAAAAACGGATAATCAAGTAATTAAATTGGAATTCGGGAAAAAGATAAAGGTGATTTAATATTACTTTATTGTCGTTGTGAATAAAATATTTATTAAGAAAAAAAAATTAATAACTCGGTTCGTTCTTTAGATTTCAACAAATGATGGAGTTTACGAAGCTGATCACATAATCAGTACAATACCTTCACGTGAACTTTCCCATATTCTTCCTGACAAAGGAACAATTCCTCACTTGGATTATAATCCATCAGTTTCGGTAGCAACTATCAATATAGCATACAATCATCCAAAGATATTACCGGTTAAAGGATTTGGATATTTAATACCACAATCAACACCAAACAATCCTTATCACATTCTTGGCGTAGTATTTGATTCAGACGCTATGCCACTACAAGATGAACCTCCAAGAACATACACAAAATTAACCGTGATGATTGGTGGTCATTATTTTAATTCCATTTCCGGAAAAGTTGATTTTCCAAATAAAGATATCTTATTACAGCAATCCATGGAAATTTTGGAAAAACATCTTGGAATCTATTCTACCCCACTTTATTATCTTGTTGATATACACAAGAATTGTATACCTCAATATTATGTTGGTCACTATTCAAGACTTGAAGAATTGCATTATGCAATTAAAAAGTATTATCCAAATCAATTGAGCGTTACAGGTGCGAGTTATTGGGGTGTTAGTATAAATGACTGTGTTCTAAATTCGGCTAAATTGGTTCTTAATCTCCTTTCAAATTCTTCAAATGTTGTAACTGGTTTGGAAAGAATCGACACTAAATTTAGACTTTAAATAAATTCATTTAATCTCAACTCTATATAAATCTTCAAAATAGACAAATTTTTATTAAGTTATTTATAATTAAAAAGGCGTAAAAATGCAACATACGTGTAAGGAAAGAATGCGTGTAAATAATAGAACGTAATAAATAATAGTGTAAGATTTAGCATATTTAGGAGTGTGAAATAATAAAAATAAAAAAAGCAAAATAAAATATCAAGAACTTTGAAAAAAAACCGTTATTTTTAATGAGTATCTTGGATTATGATAAGCCGTTTAAGATATAAGCATACCTCAAATAAATGTTGTCGTTTATATCCTATTTTATTTTTTTTTTAAAAAAAAAAATAAAAGATGAAAGTAAGAATTTAGCATTATAATAAATTAACTTGAATGAAAGAACACTCAATATAGTTGTGTCATCATTGGCCAGGATTTAAACTTCCTGTTCACCCAGGCACCACGATGAGGTAATGACACAGGCCTGGGGACGATTGAGCGAACCCAACCCGGTTTTAACTTCTGGACAATCTCTTTTTTTTTTTCAATAATTATTTTTTATTCTTATTATTTATTACTAAATCTATTTATTTTTTTTTTTATGTTTTCAAGATAAAAAAAGTCTTACTTAGACAACTTGTTGGTCCACTTCATGTAAGATTGTTGCGAAAGCAATGCCTTTGTCGCCTGAGTGCGTCTACTTCGGCGCACTTCAGCGGTTTTTCGTGAAGCAATTAGATCCTAAAACGAAAAGATAACAAAGATATACGCTAGTAAAGATCGAGTTCTCAGGCAAAAATAATTAGTCAATCCCCGAATTGCCCGAAATTCATTATTCGCCATTAATTCACATACCTGCACTCGCTTAACCATGCCCGATTTGATATCGAGAAGTCGGGAGCTTATTTCTTTCTTTAATATTAGTTCTCTTTTGCCCTTTTCATTAAACCATTTCAGCAAATCGTCAACCTAAATAACAGGACATAATTACATTAATATAATGAAGCCTGATTTGGCCTGTTATTTACTAAATTCGCTCTCGTTGTAATGTAAATCACGAGTGTTAAAAACATTCTTATTCGAAAAGTTGTAAATACTTGTTCGGAATCTTCATAATATCCCCATTGCGTCTCTTCTGTTCCAAAGCTTTCTTCCACTTTTCTTCTTTTGTTATACTTTTGGCGCATAGCTTCAGTTAATGTGTCTGCAAGTTCTTTAGTGCTAGGGACCTGAACCAAGACTCTACCTGTACCATATCTCTCATTAACAACTAATCCTGCTTCATCAAAATAGTAATATTTATTATGAAATCTATCGTAGCCCATTGGGCCTGTCCGTGGTAATGCATATCTACGTTTTTCTTTTTCAACATGCTCCTCCTAAAAATAAATCATTAAAATAAGATATAACAAAATTGATAGATTGATGTAGAGTATATTAATAATACTGACTTTCTTTTGTAATGCAAGATCTTCTTCCTCCAGCTTAAGCTTTCTTGAAACTAGACTGTCTTCACCATTCATGGATTCTGTAGACGATTTTCCTTTTACACGTGGCACAGAAACGTTTCCTTTGGTGATTTCCGCAAGGGAATTCGCGCTGTTATCATGATAGGAGAAAATTAATGACGGAACATAATTAAAGTATTGGTATTCTTATACCACTTACATATGTTTCCTTTCCTTGATGATTTCATTCTTTTCTTTATTCAACTCCGTTTGCTTGTTAACACATCCTTCGATGTGTTCATGAATCAGGGTGGTTTTTGCAACGTTGTTTATCAAGAATTCCATTATCTGCAACTTATCAGCTACCTCAAGGGTAGTGAAGTATTCTTCAAAACTTTCTTCGAATGCATTGGTGCTATCAATAGGGGCCAAATGAGAGAGTATACGATCCACGTTAGGGATTGTTTCGTGTGTCCCCAACTGTATATAGATAAATCAAGATATAACAAAATGCCAGTAATAAATTAAACTCAAAAACCAAATTAGATAATTTTATATTTACCTGATAAAGGCAGCCAATTAGTACACATTCCCATCCTTTTCGAGAACCTTTGGGGGGAATAACTTTCTTGTCCCAAATCTTTACAAATCTTTCAAGAGCGTCTCGAGACGCCAGAACGCTATTTCCATTTATGTCCACATCCATGTCGTTTGGACCAGTTTCGGTCTTAATCTGGTCCCTAAGAGCAGGAGCAACGCGAGGAATTGGTTGACGTTTTTTACTTCTAGCTTGTAAACGATCTCTGATGATCGCGTTGAGCAAAGCTGCATGCATCTCAATCACTAAAGTACAGCGAGGTTGCATCATGTTGTGATAAAATGATAATTCAAGGTCATCGAGCGTGAAAAAGGAAACACCTAGAGGTTTTCTAAAATAAAAGAAAACCTTGGTAAATACCGAGGCAGTGATATTAGACAAAATCATTATAATGAAAAACTTTACCCAAACACCGTGAAGAAGTTCCACGTCATCAAAAATGTTCCAATGTACTTCTGAGGAATTTTGAAATCAAGGACCATAGGAGGTTTCTTTGAGAGTAAGCTTCTATCAAGAGGCACGTCCAAATCTTCTATTGGATATTTTGCTATTTAATAATGAATGATAAGATAATAAGTATAATGGAAATCGTTCATAAAGTAAAAGAAATCATCTTAACAAAATCACACACTCTTCCTTTGCTCAGCTCTTAATCGCTTCTGAGCCTCTCTCTCCTTTGCTTTACGCTCTTTCTCCCTCTTACGTTCAGCTTCCCTCTTCTTCTTTTCACGCTCTTTCTGTCGTTTCTTCTCTGTCGCTCTTTTTACTTGTTCCTTACTCATAGTCGCTTGTCTTTTTGATGCTGCCATTCTTTTACCTCGTGTAGTATTAGCAGAGATCGTTCCTCTCTTGTCTTTCTGAGCGTTATCCTCTCTTCTAGCACCTCGAGTCCTAGTGTTCATTCCTTTGCTCGTTCTAGCTTTCTTTGAAGGACCTTCTTGTATTGTTTTGCCCTAAATTTTATGAAAAATACAGTAATTGTTAAATAACGTTCTCATACCAAACATTGTGACCTTTTTTATTATATATACTTTTTTTTTTACCTTTCGCTTCCTGCTCTTTTCTCGCGCTTCATTTTTTGCCTTCTTCAAATCATCAGGGAGCTTAGTATTTACTTTATATTTCTTGGCCAAGTTATCCTTAACTATCCATGGTGCGTGCAAATAGGTATCTTTGGTTGTGGACTGTTTAATGAACAAACGGATCAGGGTCTTATTGAACGTCAATTTATTACGACTATAAAGAAACAAGATATAGTTTAGCAAATACAAAATCCTGATGATGCTTATCTTTAACGTTAACTACAAACCTCAAATTATCACCGCCGTTAAAAGTCTTGATCATATATCTATGATTTCCGTTCTTCACTACTTGTTGAATGGGACTTCCCTGCTTGTCTAACATTTGAACGCGATATATGGCTTGCGTTGATGCAGTTTGTTTCCTTGTTCTAAAACTCTTCCCTTTGATTCCTTTAGCAGCTGGTACCGTAGAAATTTTTACGTCGATAACCTTTCCTTTTGACCTATTAGTATGACAAAGAGACACAAAATGTATGTTGATAAAACGCGAGTACGTCCAAGGGGATTCATAATAAGATTGAAATACATACTACATACCTCTTTTTCCCTTCACTTTCGTCTTTGATAGTTACATGTTCACCAAGCGTAAACTCTTCGTTGTATTTATCGAAGATTTGATTGGCCAAGACATCAAGACGATCAGTACCTATAATAAAAACGATGGTTAGCATAATAATCCTTAATTCTTAGGACAACTTGAATCTTGCATCACAAATACTTTGCAAGAAGAACACTTACTAAATTGCACCATTTGTAAAATATGTTGTTTCAACCCTTCCGGAAATTTCTTGAGCTGCTCACGATGTTTCTTTTCATTCTCGAGAGCCTCTTCATACGTGAGACCTTGTTTACTAGTTACAGCACACTGCCATTCTGGCCTGTTATAAAAAGCTATACGATTCAGATAATCTCTATTTAAAAACAAGAAAATAAAGTTAAGGAATGATATGAACTAATATACAAGCACTTTACTGGCTACAATTGTAATATAAGCAACGAAACAAAAGAACACCAGAGAGTGCAAATATTCATTTTAACGTATTTATAGGAAAAAAAGGTACTTGTAATTAACAAAAACTTCGTTACTGTAGGGGATCACCCATACTTGTTTATTGCCGTGTTTGGATGGGTCCAGCTTTGGCTCAGGTACCGGAGCAACAGGTTTGTTATCATAGAGAGGCATTGTCCATAAAATTGTTTAACAGAGGGTTATAGCTTTAAGTACCCAGTACGAGGAAAAAGGGTTAAAACTTTTTAAAATATAATAAACAAAGTTCGAAAGTTAATAAAAAAAAAAAAACGACGAGAATATGAAATTACACGACATCCGAATAAATTCATTTACTTGAGTTTGAGAGTAACGGATTGTGAAGACAACAATTTACAAATTCGCCAGTGAACAGCTAATAAATTGTTGATAGAACGGAGAACACCCAACCAATGCGTAACAACAAAAGTTTCAAAAGTATTTGATGTTATTTTTATTTATATCTAAAAAATTCTCGATCTTCGATCGGCGGTCTGGTAGCTGAACAGGAATTGAATTTAACTTTCACATTTTTCCAGAAATTCGGTATTACCGAAATTTCGTGTTTCAATATATCACATGTTGATCAGTTGTTGATATAGTCAACATTTTTCAACTATTTTTTCTTTTTGTTTCAATAATATTTTGTGTAATAATGACAACTTCCATAACTACAGAAACAAATAAATTTATCAAACAAGAACTTTCTAACGTACTTAAAGAGTATGATTATGGTGTTATACCAAATTCAATAAAAATATTACCTACAAAGAGTTTAAATCCTGATGCTCATCAATCTTCTTTATTTCAACTTACTCTACTAGAAAATATTAAATTAATTATTACAATTGCTGAAGAAGGTTATATTGTATGTATAATAATAAATTACAATTTTATAATTTATTAATTTAAAAATTTTTTATTAAATAAATATTTCATGTTGAAATCACTAAATAGATTACAGAAGCAGATCCAGTCGATGTTACTGTTAATGAAGATTTGGAATGTGCAAAAAAATGGATTAATAAACCTTTTGAGACCATGGAAGCTTTATTATTAGCAGTATCTCCCAAATTTGGTGACAAATTTCATCAGGCTTTGTTTTCTAATTTATCAAATTTATCTCAACAATCTATAGGAAACATCACAAACAATTAATGAATTAAATTTTTTTTTTTTTTTGTAATTTATAATTCTCTATTGCATTTTACAAAACGATATTATATATATATATATATAAATTAAAACCGTAAGTTATATATTAAAAGAGAAATTGTTCCATGATCATCATTTTTTTCATAAAATTAATGAACTTATAAAGAAATTTTTGTGATAAGAAAAAGTTGTAGCTTTTTTTTAAAAAATATATATATATATATAAACCACATGAAATTCGATGTACAGTTTTTTTTCCTTTAAATAGCATGTTCCCTCTTTTTATATGTCCAAGCGCCATTTCCTGGTCATGTGCATTTTTTTTTGCTGTCCTATTATTAATTATTAATTATTTACCCACTAAAGACAACCCGGGTAAATTGAAGCAATGTCCCTTTTTGGGAACAACCCAATCGTCCATTTTTTTTTTTAAAAAAAAAAAAAATCTATGCTCGATTTTCATTACCATCTCGATGTTGTCTTACTGGATCTAAATAATAATAATAAAAATTAAAATCATAAAATGATATCATTGGAAGAATATTTTCAAATATTAATTACCAAAATAAGGATGTTCCATCGCTTCTTGAGGTGTTAATCGCTCCTATTATGCAAACCAATATTAGGCACTTAATAATGTAAAAATTTTTTACGAAATAGAAATTTTATAACCTGATGATCATATCTTAACAACTTGTCAAGGAAGTCAATGGCTTCTTTAGTAACAAATTTTTGATTCTCATTCGTGACGAATTTATTCCATGCTTTCCGCGGATATCTTTTTTTATAAAACAAGAAAAAAAATTGGTTGAAAAGGGTACAAAATCAATTGCAAAAATCCATTAGGTTTTATTATTTTATTTTTTTATTTACCTTCCCAAAATATCATCATATTGGGCATCCAACTCTATATCATATTTATCAAGGTATGCAAAAAGTTCATCCGTACCAAGAACTTTAGCAATTTTCACCAATTGATCATAATTATCATGACCATGAAAAAAGGGCTCTTTACGGAAAATCTGCAAAAGAAGTGTATTTAGATTCAAATAAATAATGATGATAATGATAATATATTATTGCATTCCAAATAAGAAATAATAATGTTTACCATACTAGCAAACATACATCCCAAACTCCACATATCAAGAGAATAATCATATTCTTGAAAATCAACCAACAATTCGGGTCCTTTGAAATATCTAGAAGCAACACGCACATTATATTCAGTTCCTGGATGATAAAATTCTGCCAAACCCCAATCTATCAATCTTAGCTATAATAAAATCATAATTGAATATTAGTAATGTATTTTGGTACCTGTTAACATTTCATACAAGATATTTACTTTGCGTTTTTCGTGATCAATCATGACATTATGTGGCTTTACGTCCCTGTGCATGATACCTTTTGAGTGACAATAGTCCAATGCCTATCACAAATTTGAAAGGAACAAAAATACAACAATGAATTAACGACGCCAACAAATAATCATTCCAAAGCATCAGAATATGTCGTGTAAAATAATTTACTGCTTGTACCTTAAGAAGCTCATAAATATAATAACGAACATCGTAGTCGGTGAACTTGGGGTATAATACTTTAAAGTCGGTATTATTTACATATTCAAAAATAAGTGATGGCGTTTTTGACTAATTGATAAGATGGAAAAGAAAGGTTAAAGATAAAGGAGTTAGAAAGTGCAAAAACATACGTTTTCATCCAGCCTTTAAATGTTATATAAAAAGCAACTTTCTCAATTTAAAAGATCCAATTTTTTACAATACTTCCACTTAACTATAAAATCAAAACCCACCACGATAGTTTTCTTCTTTTAAAACACCTAACATGTATTATTTAGTTAATATCAAAAATTACCTGAGGATCTCTTACTACGTCCAAAAGCGAAATGATGTTTGGACCACCGGCTAAGTTTTGTAAGATCTTAATTTCCCTCTTGATTTTTTTCTTCTTTACTGGTTTGAGGACTTTAATTACACACTTTTCATTATTCATAATGTTAACTCCTTCAAACACCTCGGAATATTTCCCACGGCCGATTTTACGTACTATTTCGTAATTATCTTGTACACTAGATTTTGAACAAAAAAAGTTTTAAAAAGAAAATTTTATATTAACTTTTTGAAAATGACAATAAAATCACTTTTTTAATTTAATAATAATTTAACTAAGAATTCTCCCAAATGAAAAGATTCTCTTTGACAAATTTGATAGGACATTACCCCCATTGAACTTGTAAATTATCTGTTGTAAAGATTAGGGGTTAATAAAGTAATAACGGCCCAATAAAAGAATATATATTTTTCATTGAATTACCATAATCCCAATAGTCTCGGGGCATAGTCTGATTAATATTCGCATACATGCGAGCCACACTAGTGAAAGACGTCATTTTGCTGGCCAGTGAGAATTTAGTTAAAATCACACAAGATGAATGACGCCAGGAGAAATTTTGACAAAATTTCAAAGCTTAACAAGTAATTCAAAAAGGAAAAAAAAAAAAGCAAAAACTATTATGTTTATTTGCGAACTTCTATAATATCACGAAAAATTTTTCTCTAAATATCTGCTATAAATACTTTATAACAAGGATTCGTTATAAGTTTTGCTTTGCTCTACCATTCGTCCGTTACAACATGACGCAATATCAAAAATATAAACAACATGATATACCTGCGGACTTGTGTTCACAAACAGGCTGACACATCACAAACAATGTGATCCCAATTCTCATTCTCATTTTATTAATTTCCTAGTAAAGTGATAATTTTTGATGTTTTAACAAAATTGGAAAGTAGTAATAATTATCATAAACCACCTATTTTTTTTTTTTTTTTTTTATTGGATTATTCAATCAAACCAGAAATTACTATAATTGTTAGATATATTTTTTTTTTATATACAAAATTTTTTTAATCCGATTTCTAAAATTACTAAAATGTATGTTGATTGCTAAGGAGGATATATTTATCCTTATTATATTTATAATGTTTATATTATTTATAATGTATTTAATTATAACAGATATTATTAATCATCAGCGTCCATATTTTCATCGAATGATTTATTAATACGATCAATTGGATTCTGTTGTTCTTGCATATCCAAGCTCTTTTCGTTTTCAAGATCCTGTACTCTTCGCAAGACCCTTGTTAAAATAAATGGTGTCCATCGAAGATTTTCTGATTTTATTCTTGGATACCCTTTGGCTGTCACCTTATCAAGATGATTCTTAATTAAGTCTTTGTCAACAACGATCCTATATGTGCCATTTTCTTCATCCCTCACCAACATATTATTAATCTGAAGGGTGGCTATAATGTCGTTGACTGTCATACTTGTTGCATGACTTAGCTCTAAATTTACAAGTTGCAAAATTAATATGGTTCTAATATTTCGAAAAAGATTGATTGGTTTTATATGTATATATATATATATACCTTCGATACTAAGAGCATCTGGTGAATTATTGAGCACTTCGAAAAGTACGTTGCGCCAATAATAACGATAACTGAGAAGACCAAGATCAGACAAAGGTTTCTCCGGTGATCCTGTTTTGTTTTCCCTTTTTGTTAAAAGGTAACCTATAAAAAATGAAAGCTTATATAAGAATTTCTGCGAAATTATATTCCCAAAAAAAATTTTTAATACTTACTAAATTCAATTAGTAAATTTCCATATCCTTTTCGCTGATGAATGGGTAACGTTAAAATACATGACACGTTATAATTCAAAGGGGAACGTTTTTCCTACAATAGAATAGGTAATGATTTATTATTAAAAAATATTTTGATGTATTTAGCATTCTGTAATTTACAAACCTTAGAAAAGTACCCCACAAAATGACATCCCATATCGTTTATTTCGGTCATAACATAAAACAAGAACGGTTCTACATCATAATAAAGTGTCTTGTGATCCAAAAACATTTTAGCCAAGAGACATAAATTTTGACAATAGATCTAGGTAAATTAGATATTGATCAATATTATGAAATCCTACACATGATTTGATCTATTAGAATCATATTCATATATTATAAATTTAATTCGTTACAGTATTTTTACGTCCGTCGACCTCAAAGATCGAGATTTGTCCATCTCGATAAATTTCGTCACCAGGGGGATGTTTCATCGGACATTTCATCTAAATATATTAATGAATTAGATGTGGTTCAACAAGATATAAATAATGATAAAATAACGAACCTTGTGTCGATCTGCAATATATTTGCTCTTCATATATTTCAAGCAATATTCACAAATATAAAGAGTTGGATACCAACTATATTCCTCGGGATAGGGAGCTACGTACCATGTATCCATTTCCCAGTCACCAAATCTGATCGACCTTATTTTTGGAGTAGCATCTGCGAATATTTGAGGCTGATCTTCTATGTCAAAGGTAATTTCTTGTCTTGGTTGCATAGCCTGAAGATAAAATAAAAAAAATGTGTGTATATATATTGAAAATAACGTCTGCTATATAATAAATACATACAGCTTCAGCCTTGTTTTTAGCATTCTCGAATCTCACTTTATCATAATTATCTGGACGCGTCTTCGATGTATCCGCTTCTTCTGTTGTTAATCTACCACCAAATGGCAAATCAATAACAACAGCTTGCTCCCGTTCTTGTTCACCACTCTCTACTGTTTGTCTATTGTCAGAGATATGATTTATCAATTGATCCAGTTTTTCATCTGTTTCATTCTTAATAGTCTCTGCATCAGAAAATTTGGATATATCCCTTTCAATTTCATCATCGTCTAATCTAATTAATTTCCTTCGACCTCTACCCGTTTTCCCCTTATTTGTTGTTTTTGTTCGTTGTCTAGTGATACGAGTTTTTACAGCCGCGTCTTTATTGGTGACTGTACCATTTGCATTACCTCGTTTCTTTGATAATTTAGATTGGGAATTTAATGATCCTGATGATTCACTAATTGTTTGTGCTTTCATAATATTATTTGGAATAACAGGTTCTTCATCCAGATCTTCATCATCACTAGATATGGTTTCCTTGCTTTTAATTATCCTTTTTCTTTTTGGTTTGACTACTATTCTCGGTGGTCTTTTTTGCGATGTAATTTCATTAATTTCTTTAGGTTCTTCTTTAATAGCTACTCTAGGTGTAGAGGTACTAGCTTCTTCAGGTGAAATTATAGGAACAGCGTTGTTGGTGGGTTTTTGATCTTCCTTCTCCGTGACTACTGATACCGTAAATACTGGAGCTTTAACTTTCCGCTTCTGAGTCGAATGACCTCTCGTTTTTTGGGGTTTTTGTATCTCTAATTGAGGTTGTGACGAAGGTGGTGGTGGTCTTTCTTGTGGTATTTCGTTTTGAAGTTGCGTCGTTGTTTGTAATGGAGTTTGTGGTAATTGAGTATCACTATTAATTTTTTTCCCTCTTTGAGGTAAAATTCGATTACGTTTTCGAATAGAAGAACCTTTTTCTTTCTTAATCGATAAAACTGGTTGCTCTATCACAGTTTGATCTAATGTTATAGTTTCCGACTTATCTTCTAACGTCACCTCTTCTACAGGCGATGGTTTGCTAACTTTTCGTTTTTTTGGTGTATTATTCTTTTTGCTTGGTGTTACCGCTGGGGATGAAGCTTGCTCATTTTGTGGTGATGGTGGCGAAGAAGAAATTCCATTGTTTATTGGTTTAATTTTTTCCTCGATATCCACTGGAACAACAACATTTGACACCGGAGTTTCGTCTTGAGTAGCCACATTTTGTTCAGTTACTTTAGAACTTTTCTTCTTTAATTTGTTTGGTGTCTCGTCTTGATTATTTCGTCTTCCGTTACGTCTTTTTTGTAAAGTCGCCATTCAGTTTTGCTTCTGTGATCTGCACAACTCAAAAAAAAAAAATTTAAAGTGCGCATTTAAGAAAAGTGTGAATTAGCGACAAAAATAATCGTTTTAACATTTTTTTTTTTCTTTGATGAACGTTGTTACTAATGTTTAATGCGTACCAAACGTACTTTGTGTAAATATAATTACTTTTGTTATAATTTTAGTTTGAGTAAATATCATTATTAATCGTAAATGGTTTCAAAATATTCGTTCCCGCGGTATAAATTTCGCGGAGTACGTGGACTTGTATCGCTCTTTTTTTTTTGTTATAGATAAATTTTATTTTCACTATTTTTTTTTTGGCTTTTTTTTGTTGCAAATAATGATGTATTATCTGACCAGTAGCAAATTTTCGACGATCATTTGAGCTTCGAAACTTTCACGTGATGGTTTGAAACAAAATTTTCTACAATAAAGTAAAATCTATTAGAACAAACTAAATCTAAATTTGTTACATTAATTAGGTAAACTTATCGTTATTGTAATAAAAAAAAAATTAGATAATTAGATATAAAAACGACTATTTACAAATAATTACTACCAAAATTTGTATTTCTTCCTTAATAAATAAATATTAATAAATCGTGTATTCGACCGATTAAAAACGTAAAACGTAAAGGAATTGTTACATATTACTCAATAAACTTGAAATGTTTGGTTTCACGACTAAGTGTTGCGTGATCTGTCCTAAATTAAAAACACTTTCTTGAGAAGGGTCGATCACTACAGCATTCTCCAAAAATGTCCGATTCAAACCTGCCGTGACCTAAATAAATTTTAAAAGACGTTATATTTAGTTAACAAATATACATTCATAATGTATGATTATAAAATTTACTTACATCAAATGTAAAATCCCCAAAAACCATTTGCATTTTACCAGATCTACGCACAATTAGTCGTCCTATCTGACCCTCTGGTTTATTATTACCATTGACAGCATCCTCAGAATTGTCTTGTTCCCTTTCTTTACTCTTACCCTTCTCCTTTACTGACGATTGCGTTACGGGTGGACCAGGTCCTGGTTTATCCGTAACTCTACCCTTTCCTTTGTCAAGGGGCGACCTATCATTCGGACCACTCATCCTTGGACGTTTAGATGGTTCAAACTCAGGTAAGACGGTAGGCAATTGAAAACATAATAGATGATTTTCCTAAAATAAAATATATAAATCTCTCGAAATTTAAAAACATCTAGAAAATAATTCCTTGCACTTACTTCTTCAACAAATTGTATCATTTTCCTTTTGATTTCTTTCGATTTTTTATTGTCAATCACATCCTTGCCTAATGGATAAAAAGAAAAGAAAGTTCGTCGACTTCGGTTTCTATCTCTTTCTAAAATCAACGAAAATCACGAGTCGATTGACTCTATAATGCGAATTGCTAATAGAAATAAACTATATATTGTACATATGTTCATTAATATCCTTACCTTCTAATATACCAGCAGTGTCTTCTCTTTCATGCTCAACTAAAAGTATATCTGGTGCCCAAGGATCTTCTCGGAAAGATTCAAAATCCTCAGCATAATCTGTTCTACTTTTCCTTTCTTCAATAACAGAAGTGCTAAAAACGTTCGCAGTGTCCACTTGAGATTTTAGAAATATTGATTATCAATTTTTTCGTTATCCAATATATCAAGAATGATGTATTAATATTAATTATATCTTACATGGCTGGAAATTAGCATTTGAACCAAATGCGAACGGTCCAGATGCAACCATATCTGGAACAAATCTGCCGCGTCCACGGGTTCCTGATAAATAATAATAGCATAAACGATTATACTTAATTCTTAGAATTATCACATATTGATGTACCTCTTCCTCGATCTGTTCCTCGTCCTCTTAAATCTGTACCAGATGTGAGCGGTTCATTATCCTAGAAGAATGATTAACTAATTTCAAATACGATCTATCATAAGGTCAAAAATAAAAATAAATAAATAAATTGCTCACCCCTATATCAAACATTTCAGGGGTAATTGCGTCGGCAGCTATCGTTCTTTAAAAAAATTGCATGTCATTAGTAAAAATTTAAATTTAAACATATTAATTAAAAATAGTACTTACGGTTGAGACCTTCTATGTGCTTCAGGTATTGTCGGAACAAATATTTTTTTTTGTGTTCCACGTAATGTAACTCTTGAAGATGTTGATAGAAAGTAATGTCCAGTTGGTGCCGTTCTCACCGAAGCTAATCTTCCAGGAGCTGGAAGTTCATGAGATAAAGAACCAAGTCGTCTACCACTCGAAATTGAGGCCAAGGAGGGGGTAGGAGAAGGTGCTCTGCTCAAGTATGGAGACGTTGGAAGATTTATTTCTGCTTCCAAATTCAAATTAATATCCGACGAAGGTAGCCCCGCTTGTTCAAGAGTTCTATTTATTTCCATCGAAATTGAATCTTCTTCCTCTGATCTGCCCCTGCCTCTACCTCGACTTCTCCCTCGAGTTGTCCTAGGCCGAGCCGTACCTCTGACGCCTTTTGGTCGTCCCCGTCCCCTCTTGGGTGATGACTGGTTTTCAAATGCTTCATCTGCCATTATGCTAGAACTATAAAACACGAAACGATTTGAATTCACTTTTAATGTATCATACACGTATAGCAATTTGTCTTTGTGACTTCGTACCGATCTGCGCGTGTTATTATCCGATATGACGAACGCGTGTTGGATTAACACCCATAAACATGTGATGTGACAATCATAGGCAGACTTTCCTATGATTGGATAGAGGTTCAGGTTAAATAATAACGCTAACAAGATGTATAAATATAAAAATATAAAATATAAAAATCTTTGATCCTTCAAATAAAAAATACACAGTCAACCCTCTCTAAATGCACACACTATATATTTTCTCTCTAAATGCACGCTCTCGTTCAGTCCCAAGCATATAAAATTCATATAGAAATTTTCTCTTTAAATGCACACCATCTTTAAATACACATTTTTTAAAATTTTCACTATGGTCTCAAGGGGGTGCATTTAGAGAGGGTTGACTGATACTTTAATCGCGTGCCGAGTGAATGGAATATTATTGGATTTTTAAATGATGCGAGTTGACAACTATGAGATCGAAGATAGGACTTTACCTTAGATGTCTGGAGACGATTGCTAATTTCAAAGAAGGTGAAAGGTGCAAGAAAGCGAAGAACCTGCTCAAAAAGTATAGGTAAAGAAATTTTTATTATGTGTAAGAAATTGGTGATGTGGCGAAGACCTTTCAAGCTCCTCGTCATTTAAGCCTTTTAAGCCTTACCACGAAGCTAGAATTGGAGCGTAGGTGACCTTTTAAGCTTGCCTGATGCTTAAGCCTTTTAAGCCGACCCAATTCTAGCCTCACTGGGAAACGGGTGACCTTTCAAGCTTGCCTGGAAGTCTTTTAAGCCGACCTGGTGGGATGGAAACAGGAATACGTTATTTAAGAATATCATTAATTGTCCAAGTTTTATGTTAGGGTGATAAAGATGAAAGTTGGAAAAATGCGTTCGATTAACATTCAGAACACATTTTCACGTTGTAATCAAACAATTGGGGGTCGTCAATGATGTTAGCAGAATATCTAAAAAAATAGAACAAAACGAGGTACATACAAGCATTTTTTAACTAGAGTTAAGCTGAACTAATTATTTTGTGTTTTAATATTTTTAGGATAATTTTGAAGACCAATATGGTGCAAATGGTCTAAAGCCACCACTTTTTGTTACATAACTTTAAAATAATAGAAGTGACCAATTAATAGGCTTTTTTAAATAAACTCTCTGTTAAATAATAGATTAGATCATCGTCTTTACATGACATAGTCTTTTCTTGCTAAACGAATTGTAGCATTAGATATATAAAATTAAAGTTGGAATTTTTTATTAAATGTAATATGAATTTGGTCATTATAAAGTTGACTGAATTATAGAAATTACCTAATTTGGATCAAAGCATTTAAATAAAAAACGTCCCTGTTTTGATTTTTAATATGAAAATAAATAATTATTATGTTAAATATATATTTCTGATTTTTTTTAACTTAAAATTCTTTTTATGGTAATTTTAGATTATTTTGCATTATAAGAATGTATAATAGATAATGTAAATCACATGATTATAAATCAATAAAATAATTTATATTGTTAAATTATTGATAATATATAATATATTTTAATATTTTATAATATTTATTGCTTTAATTTAATATATATTATAATCAATTAGTATAAAAATTAAAAATAAATGTATTTATGAAATATTCATTATTTTTGTTACAGTAGTGGTCATAAGTACCTGACCCCTCGTAATTCTTAAAGTTAATTAATAATACCTATTAAAATTTTCCAAAATTCAAGTATAATACCAATATAAATTACATGTAAACTTATAAGCAGGGTTGGAATTAGTACAGCAATTAGTACAGATAGTACAGTTAGTACAGTTAGTATAATATAATAATTAATATAAAATTAGTATAAGTACAGCATAAGTACAGTGTTAATTTTATCTAGTACATACAAATTTCCCAACCCTGCCTATATATATAGTATTATGATAAAAATAAGTAATTATACTTTTAATTATACTGTTATTTGTTAAAAGGCTATAAACAAGTGAAATAACATTAAGAAAAAGAGTATTGATGATAACTTAGAATATATGATTATACTATTTAACCTATATGACATATAGTTAATGAGATATAAACATTCTATATTTATGAAAAAATTAAATTTTTCTTCTTTCCTTTTTATTATTTGTTTAGAAGACTCTTTATCAGAAAATTTTACTAATACTTTAGCTTAAAGAAGGATAGTAAATGCAATTCAAATAACTGAAACTTGAGCAAATGTATAATATTTTCAGTGATGTTTAGATTCACTTTAACATATATTAAAAAATAGAAAACTTATGAGATGAAGTTAAATCTAACAAAAATAAAATTATAAAGTTAAAAAGAAATGTCGAATGTTCCTAAAATTGTAAAGAAAAAAATTAGACAACTTATCAAAACAAAGAGATTGTTTGTTATAATAAATCTGAAAAATAACTGCTTTTTTTCAAATATTCAGATTTATATAAACATATACACAATTATGTAGAATTTGAATCAGTTAATATAAAATAATGAAAAGAAACTATTAAAGTTCAAACAATAGAAAAAATCTTGAGAAAAGATATGAAATTTATATAGTAAGAACTACATTGAAAAGTTATCTTTTACTTTATCAATTAAACTCAATTATTGCAAAAGTATATTATCATTCAGCATAAATTATAATTACTAGATTTTTGCATACTGAGATATATGAACATTTTGATAGCTATTATTGATTTATATTAGTAAAATATGTTAAGTAATTCACTAACACTTTTGCTGATTTATTAATTATCACTTTTCAAGATAATAAAGTAAAGATTAGATTTAGAGTACCTGCAGTAAGTCATATATTTTATATATTATAATCTATTAATGAATATACAATTATAGCTGATCATAATTTTTCTATAGAATCTGATAAAAACTAATTTTATCAGTATATTTAATTATAAATCAAATGAATCTAATAATAAATTATGAATAGAAAAGTTAGCAAATTTTGTATATCCTAATGGTCTTTTAGTATATCTTCACTTATACATATATAAGACCTAAAAAAACCTTACTTTAGATTTTTAATATGATAATATACTAAAAATAAACAAAAAAATTTGACCAATATAAATTTTATTAGTAAATGGAAGTTCAGATGAGAATTTTAGGCATTTAAAGAATATAAAATCCTATTGTTAACTTTTTAAAAAGTTTGACTTAAATTTTTTAAGTATACAAATGCATATCTTAAGATAATTAAAATATAATTTAATTAAAAGGTATAGCAACATTTTCTGGTAAACTTACTAGTACTATTTTACTAATTAACTATTTTAGTATGCATTTAAATACACAAAATAAAGTTATAGATCTGAATTAGCCACTTGAAATTTTCGCTATTTAGAAAAAAATCCTTTATAAAATTTAGTATTGTAATTTAATTTTTAGGAAAAAG